TAACCTGATTGATGAGCTTGATGCACTTGTCAACCTTGTCCTGCGTGTCTGCCGTCACAACACAGTGCAATTCTTCGTTCTCATCATCTTCATGTCCTGGACGACCTTTGCCTTCTTTCACACTGCCTTTGCCTCGAATACTAATTTTGGCTCCACTCTCCCTCTCCATCTTTTTTAACGAATTGCCACGAGGACCGACGAGCAGACCAAAAAAGTTGATCTCGGGGTAATCTTTGACTGGAATGTAAATCTTCTCCATCGGTCGACCACTGCCTTGACGTTTCGCAACGAGATACTCGGTTGGTGGACGGAACGATGGATCGAGCTTCATCTGCCTCTCGACGAGACGCATGCGCTCATCTTCCAGCTTTTTGCGATATCGCACTTCTCGTGTGTTTGTACGTCGACCGTAGTTATCGTAAGTTGGCGGCGGAGACGGTGAACGAGCGCCGTCAGGCGGGACAACTTGACCGCTGCGCAATGCTCGTGTGATTTCATCGAGGCGCAATTGAGCTGATGAGCAGGTAGAAAACATGTAGTGGAGTAATCTCAGCGCTGGCGTTCTGAAAGCACTTGCTGGCGCGCAAGAGTGGACTGACCTGCGTATTTCTCGAGTTCGACTCCCTCGAGTTGACCAGTGATGGCGACAGGCATGGCAGAGCCTTCGACTTTCTCATTGCCCCAACGACTCTTCCGCTTGCGTTCGCCTGGTACGCCTGTCGACTCTGGTAACGCCGGCGCAGACGGCAACACCGGTGGACCACCCGAGCCGTGTCCACCACCATATCCGCCTGATCTGTACGAGTCGTTCGAATGCGAGCCAGGTCCGTATGAGCTGTAGCCTCCTCTGCCACGATCGTCGTAGGCCCCGCCGCCAGGTGCGCCGTAACCGCCTGACATGTCTTGCGCGCCGCCGTTTGCGCCCTGACCACCCTGACCGCCACCCCAGCGACGTGGTGCTGCCAGTGGGGCCTCGTTAGCTCCAGTCTGACGAGCGTTGCTGCGCCACATGACGAGAGATGCGGCAAATTGTCGAAAGTGCAAGCGCAAGGCCTCGAAGACGCGGCGTGCGTTGTGTGACTCGAAATAGTGCTGAATTGCAAAGGTGACAAAAAGATGAGTGAGCTTCGAGGTTTTATATTGCACCACATCATTTGCTGAGCAACAAGGTTGCCATGTCGCAACCCGATCTTTTTCGGTGGCAGCCGAGCCGACTCAAACGTCTTGTCACTCGGAGCGCGCAGGCAAACGGCCAGACAGATTCAGATCAGAGAGGCTCGATGCGATGCAATGTCAACCATCCAAATGTCACATGAGAAGCGCAAGCCCGAAGTCGGCGCCTGTTCACAAGGCAGGTGCCAGCCAGCTCCATTGATCGTCAAACTGATTCAAAGCCGGCCCTTGCAAGACCGACGACCTGAGTAAAGCTCATGCAAAGTCAGTACCTTTTTCGACGTGTGGCGATGAATCTGTGGGACCCACCAGTATTGCGAATCATTGGTCGAGCTTATGCCCGTGAGAGCCTCGAAATCTTGTCTCGGGTCGCTAAAGTTAAGCAAGTCGGGCTGCAATCAAGCACCCGTCAGTGACGCCGCCACACTTCTGCCCGGACTGTCAAACTTGCCATTGGCAAAAGGCTGCCAATCTCGTTGGTGAATGACAAGGGGTCCGCAGTTGCGTTCGCGGTGGCCGCGGAACTCGAAGCATGAGGCTCGGCCGATTGCGTAGCTTGAGGCGCAACAGACGTCGCTCGACTCCTCGCCTGATCCTGCGATGCAATTGAGCGCAAGACGAGACGGTAATAGCGAGCGAGATACGCAGGCGGGTTGTCGTCACGATCTTTGCGGGCTCTCGTGCAAGAGGCACAGACTGTTTGCCAGCAATCTGGTTAGCGTTAACGTTCGAGAAGGATTTGTACGGCTTACAGTCGCTCATCCACTGTACAATGAGACGTTGGTACTCAGTTAGTACCATCGGTAGTATTTTTGCCAAGAATTCGGCGAGCTGCACGACATTTGCGTGACGGCGTTCAGCTGTGGACGAGTGGTGCCCAGTAAGGCAGTGAAGCTTACTTTGAAAAACACGTGTGCAAAAAAGTCTTGAACGTACACAAGTTCACCCTGGTCGATGAGTTCGACCGCGAACGAGATCAGCTGAGCAGCTCGCGGCAAGTACTCGTCGATCAGGAGATCTTGTCTGAGATTGTGAGCAATGACTTGAGCTTTTGCGAGGTTGGCCCAAGCAATGAAGTAGATCAGTCTCGACTTGTTCAGACCTGGCGTGTTGGGTTGACAATGGCACGGGACTGATCTCGAAGACAGCTCAGATCGCGGTCGACAGAAACAGCTTTGCCTTTTTCAAATTAGCACTCACTCTCGGGCTTGAGGTACTTGCTCCATGCTTGTTCGAGACGATGACGATTGCGAGTCACGAGCATGTCGGCTGCCACTTCAGATTTGCAATTCTGGATATTGCGGCAGGCTTGTCCGCTCTTCGTCGTCCTGAGCAGGAGCACGAGGACATGGTGAGCGTCCAGCGCAGAGACGGCGAAGAAAGCTCTAAACTAACTCGATCGATGCTACGAGCAAGGCATCTTCTGGCACGTCGTACAACATTCCTTCGTCGAGCCAGTCATCGAGTCGAAGGTCAGCCCAGCCTCCAAGTCCAATCATTTTGGCATCAATCATCTCGTCAAAGTTGAAGCTGTATGACGAATCGAAGCAAATAGCGTTGAGCCAGGTGCGCTCTCGATCCAGAATCAATCGGGCTTCGTGTTCATCGTCAGGCAGTGGTGTCGTGCGGGGGACAGGCAAGCGGAGCTGCATGGCGAGCCTGATGATGATACCAACGCGGAAAAAGGCTGTTGCATCGCCTGGTTCCTGATAGATACGACGGCTTCGTCAGGGGAGTCTTTGACGCGAGAGCGATGCTCGACTCCGTACCTTCCAGTATACGAGCAACATCAGACTCTGGAGCAGCCCAATCTCAAAGTGTGAGCCAAAGACGCCTTTGGCGATGAGTGTTGTGGCTTGAGAATGTAGGCTTGGATACAAGTCAGGCCTGAAATGCTTGGCAGACACAGCGAGCAGGCTGGAAAAGAGGACTGTTGAGGTTTGGCGGACGTATGCGACCGTGTGCACTGCCGCACGGTGGTCAATGGCTGGTGTTCCTCTTTTCAAAGCAGACGGACGTACAGTGTCTATCAAATAGCTTGATAAGAGGATTCTGATGCTTGAAGAATTGACGAAACAGCGAATCGGCCTCGGCAAGGCTAAGCATGTCTGCGAGTTTCAGTGTCAGGCTCGGGCTGCACAAAGAGGAGCTCGACAAGGCGTACGTAGATCAACTGGATCGGGCGATTTGTGCACATGCGTAGAGAGGCGGGCCTGCGGCACTGTTCCTGAACTGTGGGCTTCCGCCGCTTCCACAACTGAGACCATCGTTTCGCCACCTGCTCTCGAAGGTCCAGCGTGGCTCGCACCGATCCAGCTCGGTCCCTTGCCGTGCATCGAGGCTAGTGCCGGTATTTGAGGCGATGGATACTGGCTCGCGACCCTGTTGTGCAACTTTGGGGACCTGTCTCGGTCAGGGGAGTGTCAGTCACCACAGCAGCTGTCGCACCACTTCGGCTGACTGACTCGGGTTTGACGGACAACGAATATTCAATATCGCCAGCTAGTTCCTCAGACCTCGATCCTGTTTCATGATTCGTCGACTTGGTGCATTACTGGAGGCGTGAATGCTCAAAAAACTCACTCGATCGCTTCCTGCTGTCAGAGCCCGTGGCACCATTGCTGTGAAACGATGGTTGAGCACACGAGTCACGTAAGTGATCTCTTAACTTCTTACGCGTTCTTCGGTCTTCGACCTCTGGGAAGAGGTGCATTGTACGTGCATTCGACATCTAGTTGCCGAATGTCAGCAGCGGCCACGACGGCAAGCCTTGTCTCGAGACGCACTCAAGCGAATGCACCTTGTACATCTGCTTTGTCCGAGTTCTCCTGCTGGTAGCTTGCATTTGACCTGATGCCCCCGCGTTAATGTGCGGGCTCGTCAGGCACTACTTTGCGAGGTGGGAGTCGGGCTAACCTTGATCTTGCGACAAGGTGCGCATCTGGTGAGCTCTAATATCGTCAGTCGTACGTCATTGTCGTCGTCGCCGCACGATCCGGTGGCCGAAAGTGCATGTTGCGCCGTGTGGTGGCTCATCGTTGCACAATCACCCAACAGTCGAGACTCATGAATGCTTACGCTGGGCGTTTCTTGTCCTCTTCTTGAGCGTCTGCTGACCCGCCCGTCGGCATGGTGGCCCCGTCCTCGTCCGGCGACATGTTGCAGCCTTCGAAGCTTGGGGATGGGCAAAGCCAGCTTGGGGAGAATGAAGTGCATTCCGCCTCTGCTCGCCCTCATCGCTGCATAGTGTTGAATTTGCAAAGTTGCTCTGAGGTGTGCGACCAATCGAATAATAAATAGCAGATGAGCAAGATCCAAGAGCGATCACGTGATTGCGCATCCGTGTGCTCGCTTGCAGTCCTTGTGGGGAAGCACAAATATTTATCGATCGTTTAGGGGTGCAGCAGACTAGCATCAATGCAACGAGACACGTAACGACGATTCAGCATATGATTGTCGACATCAGAAATTGAACAGTTGTCAAGCAAGAGGATTGACGAGAGCGGAGGACGGCCATAGAAGTCTCAGGGAGCGTGATGTAGCGGGCAACAATTCGTGTATCTTCTCCTGGGACGGTGGCCTTGTCGCACGTTGCTGCTCCGTCTGCGATTGTGTTCGATTGTAGTCAACAGCGACAATCTGGGCAGGGGTAATCCGAAAGCTTTCGAAAATTCGCCGGTGGTAATAAGTCCAACTCGACGCCCTCTGTAGGCTCTCACTACAGCTGAACTGGGACAACTAAAGCCACCGAGTCTAGACAGAGGGTGGGCAAGAGTTGGCTGATCCTGCCGAGGCCGCAAACGAAAAGGGAACGCAACAAAAAAGAATGACCCGCCCAGGACTCGAACCTGGAATCTCTTGATATTGACGCAATCGTAGTCAAGCGCCATAACCGATTCGGCCAACGGGCCTACGTTGAGGTGGCCAAAAACATTGACGTATAGAATTGCCCGGCTGGGTTTTTGAAAAAGTCCGCGGACACATGATCAATCACATAAACCTTTTTTTTTTTCTTGATGAATTCAAGAACTGTGGCTCAAAATTGCAGCCTGAACCCTTTGTGGCTTGTCTAGATAGTGGCAATGGGATGAAACAACTCGTAGATGAAAAAAAAAAAAAAAAAACTCCTTTCTTAGAATTGCAATGCCACTGTCGAGACAAGCAACTAATCAGCCAGAAGAAAGGAGAAAAGATGCCTTACGCACAGAGGTCGCCGTAAACCAACAGTGTGAGACTAGCAGTCAGCCTCGTGTGCTGCCACCTCCACCGCCGCCCATCCCTGATCCGAGTCTTGGTCTGCGCGAGCTGTTGTTTGCGGGCACATTGCGTGGAGCTCGAAGAAGTATCGGGACTTGGACAGGCTTCGGAAGTGAGCGGAAGTTTGTTGCGGAAGCGGCAGTGCTCTCAATGTTGGCAAGTCCTTTCCCTACGCTATCGGCGGTGCGCACTTTCGTCAGGTACCTGCTGCCCCCATGCTTCGTACACATAGGAGCATTTCCGTTACTTGGGCATCCAAGTGAGACCAGGCTGCAACGATCGATTACAATGGCGCCGAATCATTGACATGACAATCGCAAGAATTCGACAATTGGTAATCTACGACCTCCCCTGGCAACCAAGTGCGCGATTGTCAACATCTACTGTTACTCAAAGACTGTATTTTACGATCGCTTCTGTACCTGCGCCACCAGACATACTTCAGGAGCTGCAAGACGCCGCGATACTCGAGATTCGGGGTCCACTAACGTGGATCTGTCCAGCTCGCCTAGTTATCCAAGTTACAAAAGGAGGATCCGGCTTGCACGATCTGGGCGTCCGTCCCATGCCGGTTCGAGCAAAATGGGTGCACGGCATTCTGCGCAGGGAACTCCATTTGTCATTTCACTTGCGGTGGATGCGCTGGGTGCTCCATCATTCCTGGCTCGACGGTCCGAGCTCAACACATCATTAAAGACGGCCCTAAGAGGGATGCTCTGGTCAGGTTGTTCTTCCCTTTCTTGCCTTTTGGTTCGAGAGAACTGGCAGCATTTTCCACTCGTACATCGCTATTGTACAACAATTGAAGAGAACCTGCCGACGGGATAGCCCGCCTAGATCTTCGCTCGGCAACATTTTGTTACCGTTGGTCATCAGCTGATGACGGAGCAACAGCGAACAGACTGGGTGTTTGGTCAACCGGCGCCATCGTTTGGTGACGTAACTAAAGTTAGATCTCTCTCCACTGCCGACTGGACAACGTTCCAATCACCACGCTAGGGGCATTCAAACTCATGTCGCGCACGATCGGCGAGATCGCGTATCCGACGGTCATCACCAACAAGTGGTTACACACCCTGCATGAGGGTGATTATGACGACTTGTGGTTTCAGTGGTATTTTACGCTGACGAAGCTTCGAAGGCACTTCCCAGACGCAGAAGACACGGCCCATCTGTTGGCAACACACAACCTGAGAGGGCGCAGGGGCCCGAGACGTTGGTGGAGAAGAATATGCCGCGCGTTCGGTCAACAATCGTTCAGGGAGGTGTATCCTTTGCCGATCAAGAGCTGAAGGCGTCCTCGAGACACTCGAACACATCTTTGGCTACTGTCGAGCAACCAAGCAGATTTGGCGATTGGTGTTCGGTCGCCATGCTCCTTTTCCTGGGCTTGATGCGCTGATTCAACCAAATTTACCGCCACAACAAGCTTATCAAGCTCGTGTGCCAGTCACCTTTGTTCACCATGTGTGGACCCTGCGGAACAGTCGACGAAACAGTCTAATCCTGGTCGAACGAGTCGCCAATTCCAACGAGCTGCGGAGAACAGCACAAGACATCGCCTTTTTTTTTATCTACGAGTTGCTTCATCCCATTGCCACTATCTAGACAAGCCACAAAGGGTTCAGGCTGCAATTTTGAGCCACAGTTCTTGAATTCATCAAGAAAAAAAAAAAAGGTTTATTTTCATTTTTTTTTGTGTCAAACCCAAAGCTTTACAAAAATTGACTTGTTGAAACTACGAAAATCTTTGAAAAAGAGAACTTTGACAAACTCCGGACCCGGTGAAACTCTTGCCGACTCTGTTGAACATTTCCTCTTGAGCAACCGAAGTGACCAATCCAACCAAAAGAAAAGTGTCGACAATAGCGGGCCCAACCAACAAACCCAGGAAACCAAATGGAAACAAATAAACCCAATAAACTTAACTAACCAAATAAACCCAATAAACTATGGATTATACATACAAATCTAGCAAAACCGCCTCACTGTTCAAGCTATCGCCGAATCTCCTACAGGACACTTTGAAGCCTCGGTCAGCAGGTCCGATCTTCACTGTGGTGCCGCCAGATGTTACAGTAAAGATCTCGCCAGTCATGGTTCGGGTTTATGTGATTGATCATGTGTCCGCGGACTTTTTCAAAAACCCAGCTGGGCGATTCTATACGTCAATGTTTTTGGCCACCTCAACGTAGGCCCGTTGGCCGAATCGGTTATGGCGCTTGACTACGATTGCGTCAATATCAAGAGATTCCAGGTTCGAGTCCTGGGCGGGTCATTCTTTTTTGTTGCGTTCCCTTTTCGTTTGCGGCCTCGGCAGGATCAGCCAACTCTTGCCCACCCTCTGTCTAGACTCGGTGGCTTTAGTTGTCCCAGTTCAGCTGTAGTGAGAACCTACAGAGGGCGTCGAGTTGGAGTTATTACCACCGGCGAATTTTCGAAAGCTTTCGAATCACTCATTCGACTGAGCGCTTTTCCTATCGCCGCTAGTCGGTCAATCAAAAGCAGAGACATGGCTATACAACCTGCCGTAGCATGAAGTCAAGCCTGTCTGAAGACGTAAAGGGCGTCCGCCAAAATCAAGCGTTAGAGTTCTCTACTCATACTGAACACGGGTTCAGTTCCCAGCCGCCTCGGAATTTTGCCAAGATCATGATCACACCCACCTACATCCGGATGGATTGCACCATCATCTGGGCGTCACGCGCAGGATCGGAGTGGCGTGTGCAGCCGTGCCAGTGCCACTCAAAGTGTTCGAGCTGTCAAACTCGCTGGCAATTGACTATTGAGCATCGAGGAACTTGAGCAGAGGTGCCTGAAGACTTGACTCCTGCCCTGCCCCGAGCTCAACGCGTTGCAGGACACTGAGCTGCATTCCAAGACTTGCCTGGGGCGATTCCGGAGTTTAGCCGATGATTTGATCGGCTCCCATACACCATGGACCAGATTCCAGGGGTCTAAAAGTTTTGTATTATCTTGAAAGCCGCGACAACCCGCCTTGAGTCACTCTGCGATCTGTGATTTTAGCTTTCGACGCCGCAGCAGTGCTCTATGGCCCGCATCTCTCCTTCGTCTCGTCGCTGACTGGTTCACCGCGAGACGCCCCTGGGTGTGCCTGTTGTCGAGTGGTGTGACTCTGGCGACACTGTCTGGCTGTTGCGACTGCATTCCGTGCAGCTGCTGGTTTCGAGACGTTTTGGCTCGGCGCAATCGCTCGTCGTCATCAGCAGTTCTCCAAAGCGGCACTCTTCAGCTCAAGTGACAAGTACATCAAACATTTCAGCATCATTACTACCAGTAGTTGACAATGGACATTTACACGACAAGCTTTACGTTGCCGCGCAACGCCGCCATCTACGACCTCGCACCGATCGTAGCAACCGAGGAGCAACAACGACATGACGACGCACCTCACATCACGCACGCTAATCGTACCGCTCGATCTTCTTTGTCGTCGACCGCAGAACACTACGCTCGCGAAGGCAGCGCAGAGCCGAGCTCATCAAACTCGACGTCGATCCATGGCACCGCGTCGACGGCACCATCTTCGCACTCGGACGCGACGTCTCACGCTGATGACAAGCATACCTCACAACATGCGCAACCCAGAGCCAGGACAGCATCCGCAGAGGGCGTTCTGTCAGCCCGCACGAGCTCTGACCTCGGCGACCAAATGCAAAGAGTGTGCGTTGATGCCATGGCAACAAATCAATGCTTGGTGTCATTCACACCCACAGATCAACAAATTCACCATCAGCGAGGCTCAACCGCAAATGCAAGCTTTGATTCGGCGCAGAAGAGGGCGGGCAGCATCGCAGAGTCAATCACGACGTCATCGACAGCGTTGTCAGACAGACGATTCAACATACATGTCAGTGGCGGGTACCAACAGGTCATGAGTGCACGCGGGCATGTCCTCAGGGAGAACCCACTCAGGGTCAGTCTCCTGACGAGTCTACTGGGGTCTGACTAGAGCGATGTTGCTGATATTCGACTGACCTTGCACAGAGAAAGCTGGTCGTCAAGGTACCCCGCAGCGAAGTCTTGGACAGTCGAGAGAAAGTCAAGGCCGAGGTGCGTCAAAAGTTGGACGAGGTTGCGTCCACTACGAAAGCGCACCTGGCCATCGTCGGACAAAGCTCGGGCGCTCCTGGCTTTGGGCTCGAGACTGAACGCAGTGTCGAAATCGTTATAACTGGTGCATTCGAGAACACTGAACAGGCTCGTGTTCGTCTGTTGGTCCTTTTGGACGAGTTGGTGGGTCGACTTCACGTCGCGACGCGGTCAATGAAGCGGGATCCTGACCCACCCGAGTTTTGCAGAGCGGCTTGCATTCCGAGGTGTGCGAGATTGATTACAAGCTTCACAACATCATCAGCGGTCGCAAACGATGCGTCATCCAAACTATTCAAGAAGAGACTGCCACCAACATTTACTTTCCCACAAGCTTCTCTGGTGTGCTCGGCCCAGGACAGGCCATGCTGTTGGGACGACAGAACCTTATCTTCATCACTGGCGAGTTCTTTGGCGTGCAAAGAGCCAGGGACATGCTGTATCAGGTCTCGTTGCACAAGGTCAGTACCGGCACCGAGCCAGTCTGTGAGCGTCAACTGAAGCCCCTTGTTCGAGCAGAGTAAATGCATCATCTCACGCG